CGAGGGGCGCAACCCCCACCCTACCTCCGGCAGCGCAGGTGGCAGAGTCGGGGGACCCCCTAGACGGCGAGCTCCTGGGGACCCCGACGGCGCCCCCTCGGGAAATCCAGGCCCCCCAAGACGTCCCTTCCCCAAAAGAGGGGACCCCAGCTCCCCCGACGCCCGGCCTGGGACCTTCGGTGCCCCCTGGCTGCCAGACCCCCAGCTAGCCCCAAGCCCCCTTCCGCCAAACAAGTCTCCAGGAACGCCCCTTGGGGCAAGCCCCCAGAACGAATGTCCCCGAGGATTATTTCCCAGCCCCATTCCGGGGATCCCTATGGCATCTCTTTCACAAATCTAGTGGGCTGAGAGCCACAGTGCTCACCCCGACGGCGAGGAACGCGCCCCACGAGTGCCCCCGCCCCACAGAGGCTTGTACAACCCCCCAGTCCTGTCCCCAGTCCACTTAAAAAAAAAGAGAAAGAAAAAGAAGCCCTCTCCCGGAAAACCCATCTCCAGGGAACAGGTACCCGCAGTTTCCCCTAAAACAACACACAATACCCTAAGACTGAAGAAGATACCGTGGCCGCAGAGCCCCCCATCCAGGAGCAGGTCCCCCAAATCTGGCCTCAAAAACCCGCGGGGGAACCTCTTCCACTCAGGCTCCCGCTGGCGCCCCCTCCTGGGCACTAGGACCCTCGGTACCCTGTGTCATCCCACCCGCCCTAGCGCCCAAACCCACCCAGCTCCCTCCCCGACGGCTCTGCGTGCCCAACGCGCCTCCCATCGGAGGCGCCCGGCCGACTCGCAGCAGCCTGGGCTAGGTGGGCGAGGTGGGCCCGGTGGGCGGGGCCGAAGTGGCCACGACCACGCCCCGGGGTCGTTGCCGGGAAACACTGCCCTAAGGCCCCGCCCCTGGCCCCCGGCTCGCGCCCTCAACCCGGAGAGGTGGTAGCCGCCGCCTGCGTTCTTTGGGACCTGGTGCTCTGACTTCTCACCCCGCCGCCTGCGTTCTCCCCGCCTTCTCTCTCAGGTCCCGGATTCCTCCCACCCCAGCAGCCTGTGGATGGTACAGGCATAGGCCTTCCGGGGACCACCCGCCCTCTCAC